TCCTCTATAACACCATCGCATACATCAAACAAAAACTTCACAGAACTGAAAGTCCAAGTAAATGAGGATGAAGTCCACAAATAGGTGACCGAAAAAATAGCTTTGAAATTTCAATAATAAGATTTGTTAATCAAACCCAAATAAATGAAGGTATAACTCAATAAAATTGAAGAAAATTAGTTAACAATCAAAAAATAACGTGGTAGGCTCCGCATCCTCAACCCCAGATTCCACTCCAGACGTAGCACCGGATGATGAGACACCATTCTTTTGAAGATAAGACTTCTCAAGTTTTTTTTCTTCTCGCTTTTTCTCCTCCTCCTCCATCCTGTTTCTCGTGCGCTGCATAAACTAGAAAAATAAAACGGTTCACTATTCAACTATTCTTAACTATCAATGAAGTTCAAGTACTGTATTAATAAGTACTGGTTACAGTAAACGCCATCGTCAGTTGCATTCAATGAAAAAAAAAATCCAATGCAGTTTTGTTATACCTTATAAAGGCCTACAATAAGCGAAGAGTAACTCCTAAAAATCTTACTTTCATCTGCAGCAGCACAGAAGATATTTTTTTTTCTTCGTTGCCCATTCTGCGGAGATACCGAAGGACTTCTCAGAACCGAGTCGGAACGATTTATCTGAACAGACTACGGGCCAGAGAAAATAAATCCCACAGACGGCAATATAATGTCGATCTACCAAAAAATAGTTACTGCCAAAGTTCTAAAGTTTCAACTAATTCTAAAACTCTTCCTTCCTCTTGCCGCAGAGTCACTCGTTACAGTTAATATCTATCCAGCTTCGTTCCAGTTAAGCTAGGGTGACAGATTATAACCAGAACGCTTGACCAGACTCCTAAAATTTCACTTAATTTTACAACAGGCACAAAACATAAACTACTTTAAACATTCGGTTTTTTCAATGACCCTTTCATCTGTCACACGTCAACATGAAAAATTATAGTAAACTATTAAAAAATTCAAAAATGAAGGTGGATAGTCTTAATGTGACTACGTACACCGAAAACTTTAGTTACAAACTGATATGAACATTTGGCTACGAAAAAATATCAATTTCGATCACTGAGTTTGTTACCCCTAATGATTACGAAAGACCTGTTTGACATTTCCTTAATAGTTTTTGCGTATACTGCTTCCCTCAATCTCAGAAAAGTATTAGATTCGGAACAAAACCGGAAACATCTTTTCTAATATATCTAAAATTATTTCCTTACCACTGCTAGCTGCCTAGTCGCTCCTTAAGCAACTTCAAAAAGTACTTCTGGCGCTAACTTTAGCGGCAAAACACAGATTTCCTGTTTTTTATTGATAAGACCTGAGAAACTGAAATAATTACGACTGATAAAAGCAGTTTCTTCTTCTACATCAGCTGCTAAACAGATCCACAAAAGAAAAAAAAATTAATAATAAATCCCTCGTAGTTTTTCACAAAGAAATGAAAATAATTCACGAAGGATTGCGGGATCCAATCAAAAGCGCAGAGATAAAATAAACTTATGAACTTTTTCCATACAGACGACAAAGTCATAAGAAATGTGCAGCAATTAATGTCCCAGCAAAATGCAAACCTCTCTGTATCAAATTAAAAATAAATCTACGAGTGGGCGACAAAATAATAGGTTTTTTCACAGTAAAATTTTGGTTTTTTTTTTGTTAGGAGCGGGTTTTCTTATGGCGTATTTTCCATGCTTAGCAACAACTTTCTAAAAGAAAATTGGGATTTACGCATGCGAATCACACCTCGTACAAGTAAAAAAAATTCTCAAAAGAACAGAAATCTACAGGATAAAAATTCTAAGCACTGCGAAAAAAGGGAAAACTTAAGATACGACTTATCGCCAACAAAAATGCTAAACCTACTCAAGAAGAATAAACCATACTAAGTATATATTTAGTGTATGCAAATTACTGTTTAAATGGAGTAATTCGAAATACCAAATACTGACACAAAGAACTCTGTGAAGCGACCAAATTTAAGAAACATCTAAATGTACATTACGTATATCAGTAAGATAAATGCAAAAGATGCGTCTGTAAGGGAGGCAAATAGAGCGAAGAATCATAGAAAATTGGAGAATACCACACTTGGAAAGGTGTCAAAAGTCAGAGAAAGTGGAAGGAAATTCTTGCTGAATTGGCAATTATCCAAATCCAAATTACAATAAATTTTAAATTTTATTTTAAATTTTCATGCTTCCGGCATTAATGCTCCTGTTTTTACCATAATTGGCTGGTTGTTGCCGTACCGCAAAATCTTTCAGTTACAATTAACTTTGGAAACACCGATCAAATACTGATTCCTTGAATATACTGTGCTTGCTGTTGCTTTATGACCTTTGGTATCGCTCTAACCACTGTCAGAAATGATGTTTTTATGAGAGATTTCTATAACAGCGTTTCTGTTTTTATTTGTTGGTTAATTTTGTTGTAAAGTTGGTTCTCTCAATATTCTTTTTTTTTTTTCAGCTCTTCCGGCAATGTATGCATCATGTTTTTAATACAAAATGGTTGAGCAGGCTGCTAATCGAATTGCATCAAGGTTAGAAACGTTTCAGAAACTTTTTTTTTTTTTTTTTGGAAAATCTTGCTTAGTAAATTATTTTAGGGGGGATTTTAGCTACTCTTTGATATTCTAGTTAACTACTTTTTCTGTCTAGCGTTGCTTACTTTCGCAAATTAAGTATACAGTTGACTAAAAAACAGTGCGGTTACATTTTAAAAGTCCTGTACCGGCTGAAACAAAGTGTTATTTGGTAGGAAGAAAGATTCAGATGCAAAGTCCACGGTATGTTGCAGAAACTGTCTTTGTTATGAGACTGTTAGTCACGAAAGTAAAAGAGCCTAAAATGGTACCTCAGCAGGTCACTTTTGTGTCTCAGTAAAAGCATATATTGCTTTCGGAAAACGATGTGAGTCGTTACGTATTGAAGTAAAAATATGCTTAGGTAACACTTTCGAACAAATTATTAGCGGTGAACATTAAGTAATTGTTTAGGTATTTTGGATTGAAAAATTATTTATTTCAGGTCTTTCTATCGATGCTCAAATTATGAGTGCTTCTTCGCCATTTTGAACAATGAAGAAACTTTAACAATTTATGGGGTTTTCTCCTTCCGAGTACGTTTGATATAGTGAAGAGCTCTTGATTTTGAACTGTTTTTATTAGCTAAGATGTTTATTAGAGACAGATTTATGTAGAGGAAAATTTTTCAAATAATGTTTATGTTTTGGACTTATTGCGATTCCTTAGTCAGGAGATACCAAATGTCATCTTTTAAGTAAGATAGTTAAGTCACAGGTCTAGGTTTTTAGGTTATATATGGACAAATCTATATTCGGGGTAAGACTGTTTCTTCTGCACATAGGGAACCAATACATATTTGGGCTCCTTATTCTTTGGGTCCAGCACTGAATCTTCGGGGTGCTCCGGTGAGAAAAGATGCTTCTAAATGGGAAACCGCTGTAAAACGTGTGAGGAAGGTTTGTATACATAACAATGCATTTCAAGAAAATTTCTAGGCAGGAAAGTTGAGTCATATATTTTAACCTCTATAATTTCTCCTACACGTAGTATGAAGTTTTTGTTCCTAATTTTATTTTTTTCATGGGTAGTGGCCAACAGAATTTATGCCCTTATTAATTTTTAGTCTCTGACCGTCAGCTTGTTGAAAGCTGACAAAGCCGTTAAGGTTTTTTAATTATCATGTCTACTTTTTATGAAATAATACCTGAAACTGATTTTCAGTTGGCGGAAACTCCTGATTTGGTGCTGAGTCGTGCGACTGTTAGAAACACTATCATTTTATTTCATTTTGGTGAAGACAGCACTGCATCTTTTTTTGCGCGACTGTATGGTCCGGTATGTCTTTGAATTCATCATCTTTTGTGACTGCTTTACCTCTAACTGTTTAGGATAAGTTTCAAAGCATTTATTATACTTGTCTTCTAAATACGATGTTTTGAAGATAAGCGCAGTTCAGACTGAAATGTCAAAGTTTTTACGCTTTCTATTTAGTAATTTTATGAAATTTTTTATGTTTATTGAGTTTCCAATTTTCTAGTCCATTTTTTAACAGCATGGGAGACGTGTTTTAGTACCACTTAAGGAGGTGGCATGTTGCAAAAAAGCAGTAACGAGCATATTTGCTTAGAGAGGATTAAGGGAACGTCAATTACTTTGAAACTCTTAAGGAGACGCGGGAAATTACTGTTAAGTGAATAGCTAGCTAGGCAGTGTGAAATTAATAAAAACCCTGGTTAACCAGTGTGGCGCTATCGAAACGGTTTCTAGGGTTTCTTCATTCCCAAGGCTGAAGATCTTGGTGGTCTGACAGGCTTTAAGGTTAGTAGCCTTTGTTATGTGTTAGATACATTGTCTTATCCGCCACTGTTTTCTGAAGAAATGGAAAGAAGTATATACGAGATTCTGAATGGGATTGTTTCGAAAAGAGGTCAGGAAACTTCTCTATATGTTTGCGTAAATAGTGTTATCGTTTTGGTGGTGTCAAATTATTAGTTTCTTCAGGTTGTGAAAGATAAACTTTTTATTGTTATAACAGAGAATCTTGTTTTGTTAAAGGCTTTTCTTTTTGAATTAGTAGCTTGTCAGGGGGAGGCATGAGCTTTAGCTTCTTCCAGTTATTCACGAATAGGCTAAAAGAATTTTAAGACGGAGTGTAGATTCTAGAAAGTTTGAGGAGTTCAAGAGTAACTTTCCATTTGTATGACTTGTTTCTGTAAAAGAATTTTATGATTGGTTTAATACATTTTTCAAATTTCTAGCTGAGGAGTATATTTTTATTCGAGAAATTCAAGCTGTTAATGTGAAGAACTAATTAATTTTGTAAAGATCAGCTTGTTTACTGAGTTTTATGTCAGTGTCGATTTGGTTAACGTAATTGGTAGTACTTTCACCATTGTCATCCCTCTATTATGCACAGTAATGAAATAAGCAACTGATAAAAGTCCAAAGCCAGAAATGGCGGCATTTTTAGTCAGAGGTTTTCAGAGGCCGAAGATGAAGCAGTAGTTCTTGTAACGGGACCAAAAGGTGTTGGTAAATCCACTTTAGCTCGCACATTATGTTCGATATTGCACGAAAAGCAAGTGGTTTTGCTTTTTTTGATATTTATTTTTTTAAAGAATTTATGGACAGTATTTTCTTGTTTAATAAATTTAATTTATTTGAAGAACAGCAGTATTTTTAGAAACGGTCTACCTGTTTATTTACTCGACTGCGACGTTGGTCAGGCTGAATGTACACCACCTGGTTGTGTATCTCTTCACAGAATCAGCGCCCCACTTTTCGGTAAGAAAGATATAGTTGTCGACTACCGTTTAAGCCTTGAGATTTGTTGCTTGTTACGTTATGAGAATAATCAGTATAATGAGGAATTTTTTTTACTGATTCTTTTGTAGTATCTTTTTAATGCTAGCTGCACCACCTTTCAAGTTGCTTTTTGAAGTGAGTATATATGTTCCTAAATGATATCTTAAAGCTTTATCGCTCTTAGGTACAGCACTTGCCTCACAGATATGTTCGTTTCCTCAGTGTTATTTTTTTGGAAGTGTCACTCCAGCCTCGGATCCGGATTTGTACATGGCTTTGTTTTTGGATCTTCTGAATTGTTTCAGAGAAGAAGCCGATGCTGTGTCAACATTAGTTATTAATACTTGTGGATGGGTTGAGGGTTTCTTGTTTCATTCCATTTTGTTTCCATCTCTTCAGTTTTTAGTAGTTCTTGAGCACCTACCGTTGATTCTTTGTAAATTTCAGGGAAGGGTTTGGAAATATTGGATTTTATTGTGGAGAAGTCGTGTCCTGATTTCATCTTTAACATACAAAGTCTTGATCGACCTAACTATCATGTGAGTAGCATTTATACTGCTGTCTTCGGATTCCTACTCTTTACTTTTAGGTTAAGGAACCAAGACTATTGAATGGCGGGAAAGCTGTCAAAGTTTTCAACTGTAGGGAAGTAAAAAAAGCTGCGTAAGTTAAAGTGTTAATTTCTTCAATGGAGGGTTTGCAGTTTTCTCTCTGTTGCGGTAATTGTTGGCTTTTACGGCCAAGAATTTGTAGGTCTGTAAAACAATCCTGTCTTTTTCTTTTCATATAGGCCTTTTTTTTGGAGTTACTCTATTTCACTGTTTTTTGGTGTATATTGCATTTTTAGGAGTAAATTCTTCTTTTTGTCAGAGCAAACGGCCTCTCTTTCGCGTGATCTTCGTACATCTGCCTACTTTTCTAAGCATTTGTCGCTGAAGGCAGCAGCCGCTTTTGCTGAGGTTCCGCCATTAGAGGTCATTTTCAAGAAGATGTCTCTTTATATTCATCCTTTGTTAGGAATCTTGCGGGATACTCATATTTTTGCTGCATTAAATTGTACATTGGTAGCTCTTTGTTCTGATGAGGAAGTGGGTCACAGTATGGTTAGTTTTTACATTTGTTTATTCTGTTTGGAAGTGTTTTAAGTTTCACGGTTCTAAAATATGAAGCAGTTTCTTGCTCATTGAGTTGATTAGCAAGAATGTTTTTAAATTGAGATCTAATAGCGTTTTAATGTGTTTTACCATGGTAATTGACTTTTGCTTTTGTAATGCACTTATCAAACAGCTATTTGAATTACTTCGCCTCATTTTGTAGACTATATTAAAAGTCTCTTTCACAGATTATGACCGCGGACTTCGTATGTAACTACGCATTTTAAAATATTTTCCAGAAAAGACGGCGAATTTTTAACAAGGATTATATGCCATTTTTGATAGAGGAAGAAAGTGTAAAGCTTCGATGTTTTGGTTTTGGGTTTATTCGTGCGATTGACACTGATAGACATTCTTTTTATGTCATAACCCCTGTAAAAGAAGAGATTTTAAAGGTGGTTAACGTATTTGCTAGAGGATTCAATATAGATCTGCCATATTATTTTATGACCCAACAGGTGTTACAACTTTTTCAGTTCAAGCAATAATAAGTTTTAAAATTCTGTTCTGTTTTATTTTCTTAAAAGGTATTGAAACTTTTGGTTTCTTTTTGATTTAAACTTTGTGGATTACGTAGCATAATGGCTTTACTTACTTTCAGCATTATCAGGATGTGCCGTATGTAATTTCGATTGAGCGTAGTTCTCTGCAAAGTAATATGTATGAAGAACTGAAGGTAAGAGGACCATTAAAACGAGCAAGGAAAAGGCATATTCATTAATAGCGCTATTTTGTCGTATTGTTCCACTTTTTTGGTTTGAAATTTGGGCAATGACAACTGTTAACCTCAGAAAGATTTTTGTTGTAAAGTCAAAACTAAAATTTATTTTTTTTTAATTTTTTTCAAGTCGTCATAGGTTTAGGGGAGTCGAGTTTTCTTTGTTTTTGTAAAGCTCCATATCAGCGGTTGTGCGTTGAGTTTTATTTGTGGAAGAGGTCAGTAGTCTAGAGTATTTGTAATTGTCGGCGTTGTTATTGTTGTTTTTGTTATCTTGTCTTGTTACTTTTGTTTCTTGTTACTCTTTAGTTGCGACCACATTTTTTAGTTTGAAAAAAGTGATCAAGTTTTATAAAGTATTTTTTGTTGAAATTATTACCAGCATTTAGAAGTTTTGCTGCTGATTTGTTAGGTGATATCGGAAATACAAAGATAAAACTTTATCACTTTAAAGCAACATGATTGCAGTGCGTTGAAAGGCATCAGATGTGATTATGGTTGACTAGAGAAGGTAGTAGTCATTTTGTAAACAAGTTGTTAGTTAGACAAGTAAAGCCGTGAGATATGTAATCAAGAAAAATGATGAGGAGTATCGCAAGATGCTTTACGATAAGAACTCGTAGTGTTGGCATTGTTGCTGGAACTGTGAGGTTATCCCGTCTTTGCATCTTCAAACCGCTTGAGTTTCCGACATGATAGTGGCTCCACACATTATAGGTTCTTGCTGTTTAGATGTTTGGTGGAGTAGCTGCTACTTGACGAAGTCTTCCTCTCAGTTGTTCCTATTTTGATTACTGTTGTAGAGGGCGTGGTAAATTCTTTGTAGATTACGACTGTTAGTGATGGTCGAAAGCTAACTTTCTTTTGTTTCAGACGTCTTGTTGCAGTGATGTTTCTTCAAGATATCACAGCGATTTGAAAGTTATTGTAGAATGTCTTGCTTCTTTGGTGTTGGTTTTTTCAATAGGTGTCATTTACGAAGGTCGTTGTAAGTCGTCTTAGTGTTGATCAGTACCAAAAATGATTTTCCGAAGAAGAAGGTGACTTTTTGTTGTTTGACGTGATGCAGGATGTGGTGATCATACCAAAAGTTGTTAAAGACAGATGTTTCGGGCAGTAACAGGCTAAAAAGGTAATAGCATTAACCAGCAATAGTATCATCTTACCAACTGTATCGGGGAGTTCCTAAAGTTTGTAAAATAAAGTGTAGGATGGAGTTCTTCCAAAATCTCTGTTATCGATCACTGATGAACCTTATGCTTAGAAAGGAGACTGCAGGCTAAAAGAAGATTGAGGAACTTTGATGGGGAAGCTTACTTTGGCTCTCTGTTTTTTCTTCGTAGACTTAATTGTTTTTTGTTTTATTTCCGTTCAGAACTTGGGCGTTGTATCGCAGATAACAGGCGGTACAAGGGTCTGTAGTGAGTCTACTGCTTAAAAAGAATTTTTTATAAGTATCAGCATGTTCCAGAAGGGTTTTATTATGAAGTTATAAGTAATAAAGATAGTATCTGGCCAGTTTCTGCCCTTGTTTAAGAAATTTTAATAATGGTATGTATCTTTTTTTTGGATCATGAGTTAGCAGACGTTTGGGACTCTTGAAGGAACAATTATTATATTAGTTCTGGTCTATCTGATTGAAGTTGTGCCTTTTGTACACACAAGTTTGATTAGGATAAAGAGGTTTGCAGATTCATGGCAAATCATGAAACTGTGTGTAAAATAAGTAGAACTAAGGAGAAGGCTTAAAAAATTTGGAGGAAGCATCATATATTTTTTATGGTAAAAAAAATACTTGCAAGGGACTGCATAGAAAAACGACTATGATGGAGCAAAACAGATTTTAAAAGATTAGTCTCGTTGCTGTGAACGGTAGATTCATAAAATAATTTTTACCAGTGAAATAAGCTCGTAAATGAAATTGTAAATTGTTGTCAATTGAAGTATCATAAAATTACCCCATTTTTGGAAACGATAAGGTTATAAGAATTGTTTTAAAACTTTCTGAAGCGTTTACTTTTTTGATAATTTATTTATTTGTTGCTGCAAACTAGTACCAGTGGGTCAAAAAATATTAATTTTACAAGACTAGATTGGCAAAAGTCAAGTTTTTTTGTCATTCTGTTTCGAAGGTGAGTTTAGTAGGAGAAAGCTTTATGGTAAGTCAGATTAGAATTTTTTTCTCTGACTAAATGGTGGTGTACAAATTGATCTGGCTATTTTTCATAAACTTCTGGAGACAGCTTAGACTTAAACTAATTTTCTACTTTTTTCAGGCGGCAGTAAGTTCTGATGTCCTATAAGATATTTTGAAAATGTGTACTTGAGAATAGATTTTTTCAATTTTAATTTTTTGACTGTTGAAATTTCATATCTGTCTGCTTCCATCATGTCATACTCTTTTTATCAGTATCAATCTGTTTTTTGAGTGACACCGAAAATAAGCGGTCAACGAAAGTTAGTGGCAGAATAAAGTATATTAAGTGTGCAAAAAGTAATTTTCTGTTTAAAATTTTTAACCAGAGTAGTTTAACGATTATTGAGTAGTCGTTTGGTCAACATTTGTTATAATAAGCAAATACCTGTGGCTTTTAATATTGATCTTTGTTAGCCTCTCTTCATAAGGGATTACAGAGAAGCGCTTGGTTGCTATGAAACAAGAACAGCGGCGACGGTAACGACGACAGCGATTCAAAAAGAGGTGGCCGTTCCACGATCTTATTTTAGTTTCAATCTTTTTCTATTGTGATAATCAGTTAGGATGGGAGTGCAGATATTTGGTTTTGGTTTAGGCGTTGTTATAATCTTCTTTTTTTGGCTTATTGCTACCATTACTTGCCTGTTATTTCATCGTTTTCGTAAAATGTATGTTTTTAAAAAATTCTAATTTTTCTTAACAGTGTTTAGTCTTTTTTTTCAAGTTCTCTTTGAACTAATCATGGAAACAAAAAAAAAATGACCTTTATTGCATTTTCATAGGTCAATTTTTCAGCAAGTTTTTTGTTCTATAACCTATGCAGTGTGTAATTCTTAGCTTACAGTTGTACAAGAAAAAAAAGTATAGATTCTTTTTTACTTTTTGAAACTGAAAAAAAAGAGCATAAAACTAAAATTAGGTCAACTGAAAGTGATAGTATTTTTAGGTCGGTGACAGCACCAATATTTATTTTGGCTTTCATAGTAACACTGGCACTGTTCTTGTGGCCGGTATCATCAACGCGAAAAATAGATACCTCAAAGGAACGTTTGATAGATCCGTATTTCATACTCCGAATTTCACTGTTGGTAGCAGAATTTGTTGTATTCATCTGTCTGTTAGCACATTTCTTCAAGAATCATCTAGCAAGACCGCAATATGCTGTACCTGTTGGCAGTCGATAATACCAACTGCAGAAACATTTTACTGGGTTTCAGATGTCTCACAGGCTGTAGACAAATTCTGAGTTTTCACTTTGGTCAATTCTGCACTTTCATTGATACGGTATTTCAATTTTTCGCATGTTTTTCTACTGTATCGTTTTGCGGTAATAGGTCTCCAGTCTATCTTGTTCGCCGATCAACAACAGTCAAAGTAATTCATTTATATCACCACCATTCTATTGCCTAAACACTGCCAATAAAATAGAAGAAGAAAAAAAGCCCAAAATTTAGAAAAATTGTTATATCTTATCAGTAAAGTTTTTATACGCTATTTTTCAAAAATCAAAATACTTCCATTTATGAAACAGAATATTTATTAAGGGTTTTTTCTTTGTTATTATTTTTTTTTCTTTGGTGGCCAAATGATTGCTTCAGATGGTGAACGCTGCATAGGCTAAATCATTATAAACTTTAATTCGAAAAATGTTTTATTTGACGAAGAATTAAAGTAATCATTCGCAGAATTTAACGCAAAGAGATACCAATATAAAAATGTGTAAAATAATTTATGGTTTTTCTAAATTACCATCAGTTTACTTCTTCTTTCTGTCTCTCCTACATCCTTCTGTACACTTCGACTAATCTCAATTTCATTTCTCCTCAAGTTAGAAGTGTAGATAAAAAAACTGAGAAAAAAAAAAGAAGTAAAAATTGACTTGCCTAATTTTGTACACAAATAATTGCGAACAAAAAAAAAAAAAAAAAAAGAAAATTGAACAGACAGTTTGACGAGCAAACAAACAAATTAGTGCTCGAAGATAAACTGCAAAATGTTACAGTGCTGTGTTAAGTGTTCAGATGACAGTTATTCGGTTCTCAAATATCTGCAACTGTAATAACAACAGCAGTAAGACAATTTGGCCAAGAAACAAATGGATTAAAAAAGTAAAAGTAAAAAATCTTATTATGACAGGTTGAAAATTGGTTTTACTCTGTCTTTTCTCTCCTATCTTATTCTTTCTCTCACTGCGTTTGCCTTCGCGTTCAGTAGATTCTTTTTTTTTTAATTGGAAACAATTAAATTTTTTTTTTTGAAATTGTTGGCAAATGAATTTCTTTAGCATTTTCAGAGGAACTTTTGTTTTTTTTTTTTCTGAGAAAAAAAGTTAACTAGACTTTGACGGGGGGCTGCTTAAGATAGGCTCTTGAAAAATTAAATTAGTTTTTGTTTACTGTTGTGGCCAAATAAAGGAACATCGCTCTCGCATTCTTCACTCAGATGTATTCAAAAAACAAAGAATCTTTAAATTGATTCTTAGCAACAAGTCTTCTTTTCTTCAGTTGTAGTTTCACTTTATGATTCCATAAAAATCACTGAGAATAAATTCAAATGAGCTTCTGCATCTACAGATTTCTCTTCTGTTACTTTTTACTTAACCGCTTAAGCATTCGTCAATGTACTTGATGCTTATTTTGCAGATGTGATAAAGGTACAAGCACCAATATTAACATGATTATAACATCAGAAGCGGTATTATCATTATAATAATCAGCGCCATTATTATGATGACAAATACCAGCTTAATCTCTATTGGTATTCCAGTATCAGCACCATCTTCTCTTCATTTTAATTCAGTCAGCAA